CAACGCAATGGAAGGTGTTTCTATGTTAAAAAGGAGGCAAAGAGGGCAACAACAACCTCAAGGTAATTGTGAGCAATTTGACAACAACAATGATGGTGGTGGTTATTCGAATGAGTGGTATGATGATCAAAGCGAGGAATGTCAATATGTCAATAACTACCAAGGGAATAGAGGAAATCAAGGGAATCAACAATGGCGCCCCCAAGGAAATTGGGGCAATCAACAAGGCGGCGGTAATTGGAATAATAACAACCAGCAACAAGGAGGTGGCAATTGGAACAACAACAATCAAAACAACAATTGGGGTAACCAAGGTAACAATCAAGGCAACTGGAACAGGAACAATAATAATTGGAATAACAACAATGGTCAAGGCGGGTGGAATAACAATGGAAACCAAGGCAACCGGGGGCAAGGTTTTCAAAGGCCCCCGATGTATCAACAACCAAACAATCCGCCCCCGTTTCAATCTCAAGGGTCTAGTTCTTCGGGTAGTGATATGGGAAGAATAGAAATGATGTTCAAACAAATGATGAAGAAGAACCAAGAGTCCGATGCTCAATTGGCTTCCCACAATACCTCTATTCAGAAAATAGAGGTGCAATTAGGCCAAATCTCTCAATCGTTGAATACTCAACCTAAGGGTGCTCTACCAAGTGATACGGTAGTGAACTCGAAGGGAGGTAACAATCATGTGATGGCGGTCACAACAAGAAGTGGTAGAGGCGGTGATGTGCATGCCTCGAAAGAAAATCAAGTTGTGGATGATAATGTTGGGTTCCAAGAAGATGTGGGTCCTTTGATTGTTGAAGATATGGTTGAACCAAATGTGAACAATGAGGTGAGGATAGATATTGATGAGGCCGAGGTGGAAACTCAAGAGGCCGTGAACCCATCTAGGGAGCACATAATCGACATGCCGGAGCCGGTGGTGCCAAAAGCCAAGGCACCTTTGCCTAGACCACCTCCACCTTTTCCTCAGCGGTTAGCAAAGCAAAAGAGTGACAATCAATTCAAAAGGTTCATAGATATGATGAAAAGCCTTACAATCAATGTGCCTTTGGTGGAGGCACTTGAACAAATGACGGGCTATGCAAAGTTTGAAGGATTTGGTCACAAAGAAGCGTTCCATGGATTGTGAAACAATAAAGATGACTCACCAAAACAGTGCGATAGTGCATTCTATGGCCCCGAAACTTGAAGACCCTGGAGCTTTTACTATTCCTTGCACTATCGGTACTGCGGAGTTTGCTAAGGTCCTTTGTGACTTGGGGGCTAGCATTAATTTGATGCCTTATTCAGTCTTCAAGACTTTGGGAATTGGCCAACCTAGGCCAACCTCAATGAGACTTCAAATGGCGGACCGGTCGATGAAGCGGCCTTTGGGTATAATCGATGACGTACTTGTCCGGGTGGACAAATTCATATTGCCGGCCGACTTTGTCATATTGGATTGTGAAGTGGACTTTGAAGTCCTGATTATTCTTGGGAGACCTTTCCTAGCAACGGGGAAGACATTGGTTGATGTTGAAGCGGGTGAGCTAACTTTCCGAGTGGGAGATGAAAAGGTGGTTTTCCATGTTTGCAAATCCATGAAGCAGCCCAATAGCACTGAGGTGTGCTCATTTGTGGACATAGTCACAGCTGTGATTGTGGATGACACAAGTGCCATGACCAACGTGAAGGATCCCCTTGAGGCCGTGCTGTTAAATCTTGATGTCGATGATGATGCAAGCAGAGTGGAGTGTGTCAATGCATTACATGGGATGGGATCTTATTCGTATGAGCCGAGAAAGTTGTCTTTGGATCTTGAAAACAGGAAAACTCCACCAACAAAACCATCAATTGAGGAGCCACCGGTGTTGGAGTTGAAGCCACTTCCTCCACACCTCAGGTATGAATTTTTGGGCTCTAATTCAACTCTTCCAGTTATTCTTTCTTCTTGCCTTACTAACTTGCAGGTTGAGACCACTTTGGAGGTGCTTCAAAGGCGAAAAAGGGCAATAGGATGGACTCTGGCGGACATTCGGGGAATAAGCCCCACATTTTGCATGCATAAAATTATCTTGGAGGATGATGCAAGGCCTTCCCTAGAACATCAAAGGAGGCTAAATGAAGCAATGCAAGAGGTGGTAAAGAAAGAAGTGATCAAGTGGCTTGATGCGGGTGTGGTGTATCCAATTTCCGATAGCTCATGGACTTATCCGGTCCAATGTGTGCCAAAGAAAGGAGGGATGGCGGTGGTGACCAATGACAACAATGAGCTTATTCCCAATCGAACCATTACCGGGTGGAGAGTTTGTATGGACTACCAGAAACTCAACAAGGTGACCCGCAAAGATCATTTTCCTTTGCCATTCCTCGATCAAATGTTTGATCGCCTTGCGGGGCGAGCGTTCTATTGTTTTTCGGATGGGTACTCGGGCTACAATCAAATCTTAATTGCCCCGGAGGACCAAGAGAAGACCAATTTTTCATGCCCCTATGGTACATTTGCTTTCTCCCGGATGCCATTCGGGTTGTGCAATGCTCCGGCGGCCTTCCAACGTTGCATGATGGCTATTTTCACCGACATGGTGGAAGACATATTGGAGGTCTTTATGGATGACTTTAGTGTGGTTGGTGACTCCTTTGAAGAATGCTTGGTAAATTTGGATAGAGTCTTGGCCCGATGTGAAGAAACTAACCTCGTTCTCAATTGGAAAAAATGCCATTTTATGGTCGAAGAAGGTGTAGTGTTGGGTCACAAGATTTCTAAGAATGGGATTGAGGTAGACAATGCTAAGATCGAGGTGATTTCAAGGCTCCCTCCCCCCACTTCTGTCAAAGGGGTGAGGAGTTTTCTTGGGCATGCCGGGTTCTACCGGCGATTTATCAAAGACTTCTCGAAGGTTGTGAATCCCCTTTGCAAGTTGCTAGAGAAAGATGCCAAGTTTGTTTTTGATGAAAAATGCATGGAGGCTTTTGAACTTTTAAAGCACAAGTTGACCACTACCCCTATCATAACCGCACCTAATTGGAGTTTACCCTTTGAACTAATGTGTGATGCTAGTGACGTTGCAGTGGGGGCAGTGTTGGGTCAACGGGTTAACAAAATGTTCCATACTGTGTATTATGCAAGTAAGACTATGAATGGAGCTCAACGGAATTACACGGTGACGGAGAAGGAGTTATTGGACATTGTATTTGCCATGGAGAAATTTAGACCATATCTTATGGGGGCCAAGGTGATTGTGCACACGGATCATGCCACCATTAGGTATTTGATGACCAAGAAGGACTCCAAGGCAAGATTGATGAGATGGGTGTTACTCCTTCAAGAATTTGATTTAGAAATAGTGGACCGGAATGGAAGTGAGAACCAAGTTGCGGACCATTTGTCCCGGTTGGAGGAAGAAGGGAGGCCATGTGACGGCCTTGAGATAAATGATACATTCCCCGACGAGCAACTTCTTTCCGTGTCAATGTGTGACATGCCATGGTCGCGGACATCGCCAACTTCATTGTGACCGGAATTGTCCCCTGTGAGCTCTCTTCCAACCAAAAGGAGAAACTCAAGCGGGATAGTTTGGATTTTTATTGGGATGATCCGTACTTGTTTATAATTTGCACGGATGGTGTGATTAGAAGATGTTCCCCGGAAGGTGAACAATTGAGCATATTGGAGGCTTGTCACTCCTCCCCCTATGGTGGCCATCATGGAGGGGTGAGGACGGCTTCAAAGGTCTTGAGTTGCGGTTTCTATTGGCCGACTTTGTTTAAGGATGCTAGTGATTTGGTAAAGAGATGTGATACATGCCAAAGAGCCGTCGGAATTTCAAAAAGGGATGAGATGCCTCTCAATATGATTCTCGAGGTGGATATTTTTGATGTTTGGGGCATCGATTTCATGGGTTCTTTCATGAGCTCTTGTGGGAACATTTATATTCTCGTGGCTGTGGACTATGTCTCAAAGTGGGTTGAAGCCGTGGCTTTACCCTACAATAAAGCCAGGAGTGTTGTGGCATTCTTGAAAAAGAGTATCTTCACACGGTTTGGCACCCCTCATGCTATCATTAGTGATGGGGGGTCTCACTTTTGCAACAAGGCTTTTGATTTGTTACTTGCCAAGTATGGAGTAAATCACAAAGTGACCACCCCCTATCATCCTCAAGCTAGTGGTCAAGTGGAAGTCTCCAACCGAGAAATAAAAAGTATCTTGTCCAAGACGGTCAATGCTAATAGGATCGATTGGTCGAAAAAGTTGGATGACGCTTTATGGGCGTACCGTACGGCTTACAAGACCCCAATTGGTATGTCCCCGTACCGGTTGGTGTTTGGGAAAGCCTGCCATCTTCCGGTGGAATTGGAGCACAAAGCTATGTGGGCCTTGAGAAAGTTGAACTTGGAATGGGATGTTGCGGCGAATCTCCATGTTGAGCAACTTAATGAGATTGATGAGTTTAGATTTCATGCCTACTCCAGCTCGTCCTTGTATAAGGACAAGATGAAGCATCTTCACGACAAATATGCTCGGGAAAAGGAATTCAAAGTTGGTGATATGGTTCTTCTTTTCAACTCCCGGTTACGTCTGTTCCCGGGAAAGCTCAAATCAAAGTGGAGTGGGCCATTTGAAGTTGTGTTCGTGACCCCATTTGGTGCTCTTGATCTAAGGAACATGAATGGTGAAATATTCAGAGTCAATGGACATCGTGTGAAGCATTATCTTGGGAAGATTGATGATAGCCACGTGGTGGCTATGGTACATTTCAAATGATGTGTTGGAAACCCGCGTCGTGCCGCGACGTTAAATCAGGCTCTTCTTGGGAGGCGACCCATGTCTTTTTCTTTCTCTTTGATTTTATTTATAGTTTAGGATTTTTGAGCTAATTGGTTGTGAGATGTTGCAGGGATTGTGTTGATGTAGTGCAAAATAAGTTGGAACAAATTAAACAGTCTGAAGTTTGCCAGTGCGGCCACGGTCACCTTAGCACGGTCCGCACTGGCATGGTCCAACAATGATGGTCTCTGAAGTTTTCCACCGCGGCCGCATTCCAGTTAGTGCGGTACGCGGTGGCCTTCACGGCCGCGGTCTGCTTTTACACGATCTGCGGAGGTTGCCTACTGAAACTTCATTTGGTGAAATCCAGCACGGTCCGCGGTCCGTCTTGCGCGGCCGCGCTGGTAGGTGAGCATGGGGCCCGCATCATTTTCTATAAATAGAGCCCTAGGGTCTCAGTGTACCCTTTTCGAACTCTGAAAACTCTGAGCTCTAGAACTACTGTTCATCCCTTTCTGAGACCGTAACTCTTGCTTGCTTGGACTAATTGCATTCCATCTTCACAAACCCGGTAACATTTCGTGCATTTGTGATTAATTAATTTCATATTTTCATTTTAATTCCTTGCCCAGTAATTTTAGCTTCTTCTTTTTCATTTAATTGATAGTTTAGGATAGTTTAAAACCTGGGTTCTTTGCCTCTAGACTTGCTATTCAGGGACCCAGCCCCAGCCCCAGCAGCACCAGTAGCAGAGCCACAGCAGGAGCAGGCACCCAGGCGCCAAGGAAGAAGAGGAAGCTCCCCAGTACAACTGATGCAGTTAATGAGGTGGCAGCCCCACAGGAGGCCCCCTCCAGTTTGCCACATGATGCACCTAACATCCAGCCGGTCCAGGAACAGGCCCCAGTCCCAGCAGCTGAGCAGCAGGAGACCGGGAACCAGTCTGAGGTTCCCGCACATACAGAGGACTTGGGGACCACTGATGATCCCATGCAGACGGACCAGGCTTAGGGAGCCCCTATATCCTTTCTAGTGAATTTTTTATGCTTATTTTGATAGTTGGCATTGGGGACAATGCCAGCTTTTATTCGTGGGGGTGCGCCCTACTTTTTTGTTGATTATCTGGATGATTGTATATATTAGTTGACTCAGTTTATGTTTTTGGTTGATTTTCTATTTGGTATGTATATAACTTTACATTCAGTACTTTTATCGTACTGTTTATTCTCTCTTTGGTCTGTATATAAAGTTACATTTTTGTACATATTCATCCCCCCGTTGTATATTCTAAGCCCCTATTGTAAATATTCACTCTATTTTCTATTTTCGTATTTTCGTAAAAAAAATTCATTCTTAGCTTCATAGTTAGGCTCGCAGCCCTTTGTTTTGTTTTTTGGCGTTTTCAATAAGCCCTTGGTTTTCTTAAGGCCACGGTTCTTTCCAAGGGTAGAGTATTGTGTGAACCGGATGGCTCTTCCCAATGATGGATGGCGTGACAACCTTCTTAAGGGTTTGAGTCCGTTTTTGCTTTTTCTTTTGTTTTTAGTAGTTTTTAGTTAAGAGTACTTCAATCATAGCTTCACTTAGGCCTAACACATTTGCCTTTGATCCCATGGTCAAAGACAAGTGGTTGTGTTTAGGTTGGTGAAAGTAGTGACCTTGAGACTCTTGAGTTGACCAAACAAATATCATGTGGTCTTCGGGACTATTGTGTGCTCAATCGTATCTAAGGTTGTTGTGGGCCCTCGACTCTATGTCTTAAGTAATCCTTGAGTGTGTGTGGTGAGAAATTGAATTATGAGTCCAAGTCCCGAGCCAATGGTCTAGAACTTGCCCCGAATGTTTGTTGAGGCAAAATTTTGAGTGAAGTTCGACTCGAGAAGTGATTATAGGCTCTCCTTGATCCAAATGATAAGTTGAACAATTCCATAGCCTACCTATGAGATAATCCCTAGCTAACCCTTTTGAGCCTTAAACCTTCTTCTTTCAAGAACCAATGCTACAAGCCTATACCCGTTCTAAATTCTACCCTCTCTTAGCACCCACATCTTCCCTTGAGTAATAGCAAAGTCTAAGTTTGGGGGGAGAGACAAGAAAGGAAACAAAAAGGGGTAAAAGGTACAGAAGAAAAAGAAAAGGAAGGCAATGAAAAAGAAAGAAAAGAAAAAGACAAAAAGAAAGCCCAATATGAAAAAGAATAAAAAGGGATTCAAACAAAAACAAAAGTGAAAAAGGTGTGGAAAAAGTAGAAAAAGGAGAAATGTTTTGAATTGCGTAAGAAAGAGTGACGAAGTGTCTCTCTAACCCCTTGGAAGAGGTGAAATGACTCAAAGAGTCAAGTGAATTGTGCCAATGAATCAAAAGAAGTGCTTAAGGGAAGATTGAACCCACTTGAACAAAAACATATCCTACCCTTACCCAAAAGCCTTCACATTAACTCCACAAAAGCCCTATATTATCTTGAGTTGGATGAAACTCGCATTAGTGGATACTAACATGAGGGTCAAGAATATGGTACCTAGAGCCGGACTTGTGACCTTTCCTTGAGAGAGACGAGTGAACTCCTATTAACCTCGGTTTGTGTGCTTATACTCTAAAAGGTGAGGTTTGCTTAGGGAGAGTTGAGGATGTATGAGTTTGGGATCCATAGAGACCAAAGTAATTGAGAGAGTTCTTTGATGTAATGAGTCAATTCTTAATGCTCTTGTGTCATACTTGATCCATAGTTTTCAAGGTTTGAATGTTGTTAATGATCCATTTGTGTTGAGGGCAATGGTTAGTCCCAATTGATGCTTGTTGAGGTTACTTTAGGATAGCTGGAATTACTTGGATTGTCCTTTAAGGGGTGGGTCTTATTTTGTTTGCTTGAGGACAAGCAAAGGTTTAAGTTTGGGGGAGTTGATAAGTCGGGATTTTAACATGTTTTATGCCCCTACCTGCCTATGCTTTGGTTATAAATTGCTACGAAATAGTCCCAAAATGCTCACAAGTTGTGCTTGATTACAGGTTTGATCGACAAAGCGACGAATGTCAAAGATCGGCTTAAAAAGGAGTGAAACCTGCTCAAGTGTCAAAGACTAAGTAAATTGAGGAAAAGAGAACCTAGTGCGGACCGCGCAAAGGTGAATGCGGCCGCACTGGGAGGTTCAGAGAGTTGGCATTTTCAAGCTGGAGGCAACGCAGGCACGGTACGATTAACGCGGTCCGCGGTCAGGCTCCGCGGCCGCGCTACTCTTTTGTGCGGTCCGCGGAGCAGAGATTCAGAGAGCTCACATTTTGCCAATTCCAAGCAATGCCGCCCGCGCTCATTTTTGTGCGGTCGCGCCAACTTCCACCGCGGCTGCGGTACATTTTCACGCGGTCCGCGGTCCTCAAGTTCAGAGAAGCATAAATTGAAGTCCAAGAGCCAGTGCGGCTGCAGTCCATTTTGCGCGGCCCGCACTGACCCCGCAGGGGTATTTTTACCAGATTTTCCAGCCTAGTATAAATAGGACATTTTACCATTTTTAGGTCAAGTTTTTATATTCCAGACTTAGCTGCGCTCGTGAGACTCACTTTCGTAGCCATTTTTGGCACTTTTGCTCTTCATTAACAATAGATTATTGTAGTTTCTTCTTAGTAATCAATTAATATGCTTAGTTCTTCATATATTTCTTCAATTTCTGTATCTAGCATGAGTAGCTAAACCCATTAGCTAGGCTTGTGGCTCAACCCTAGTGTGGGTAATTGATGGGTGTTGCCATCTAGGGTTAGATTGATTATGGGTGTTTGTTATTTGGGTTGATTTAATGTTTTTATTTAAGAATTGGTGGTTGCAAACACTGATTCAAGCTTTGTGGGTTTGACTCTTCTTGAGAAAGAGAGTTTATGACCCCAAAATTGACTCAACAAGGAATTGGGATGGACTCATGAGAAATGATAGTCCCAATTAACGGGTTAAATCTCGAGAGAGTAATCACCCTACTTGAACCCTAGTTGCCTGATCTAATTGGCCTACCCAATTGGTCTCGAGAGAGTCAATTGGGCAAAATCACTCTCTCTACCGAGAGGTGTGAGAGTGGGTACAATTGTGCAATGGTTATAGCATAAGCCCCAAAGATGTCAATCTATCCTTAGTAACATCTACCCGTCAATTAACCACCTAGGTAATGCCACGACCCTAGTGCCTTCCTTCTCATTAGATACAACTTTGCAATATTCTAGTAGCATAAATTAGCATTAATCATTAGTTTTATCATAGTAGTTATAAAATCAAAAAAAACCAAGAATGTTTGAAGTGACATTAGGAGCACAAACACATCTCTAGACTAGACAGAAAATCCAACTCCACTACTAGCTCCCTGTGGAAATCGATCCCGACCACTATTCGGGTAAAAGGTATTGCGACCCGCTCTTCCTACCGTGGTGTAGCGTCGAGTTGGCAGCGATCACTTTTTGGCGCCGTTGCCGGGGAGCTTACGGTGTTGACTATCTGTTTAGTTAGTTTTGTGTTTTGCTTCTCTTTCCTTCTTGTTTACTAATTTTGTTTGTGTCGACTACTCAGGTACTATGGCTTTAAATGCTAATGACCCTCTTGGCAATGCCATGGCGGGGGAGGAGGTAGAAGATATTGATCATGATGAGCTTCCCGTACCTCAAGCTCCACGTAGAGGCCATCAGGCCAATGACAACAATCCTATTCTAGACCCTCCTCCGCCACCGCCAAGAGTAGTCCCAAGAGTTCTCCCTAATCAAGGGTATGCGAGTGCCATTGTTCCTCCCCGAATCCGGGCGGGGAACTTTCAAATCACAAATGTTATGTTGACCTTGCTCGAGCAAAGAGGGTATTTTACGGGCGCCGCCGATCAAAATGCCTACAAGCACTTGAAGGGGTTCGTAGATACATGCTGGGGTAGCAAGCAGACAAACGTGCCCGAGGATGCGTTGAGATTGAGGCTTTTCCCGTTCTCTCTTCTGGGTAAAGCGTTGGATTTGTTAGAAAGACTCCCCAATCATTCTATCACCACATGGGATGAATTGGCGGACAAATTTATTGCCAAGTTCTTTTCTCCAAATCATATGGCGGCTCTTCGGGATGAGATTCTAGCTTTCAAGCAAATGCCAACGGAACCTTTGCACGAGATATGGGAAAGATATAGAACAATGGTGAAGGAGTGCCCTAATAACGACATGACCGAGGCGATGATACAACAAACTTTTTATCGGGGCATCAACACCACGAATCAGTGCATTGTGAACCAATTGGCCGGAGGGAACTTTATGAAACTTTCTTACCAAGAGGCATTTGATGTACTTGATGAAATGGCCGACACCTCTTCGGCATGGCAAAGCCGAGCAAATGTACCCCAAGGTGACCCCACGGTCATTCATTTGCACAAGGAATTGAATGATCATGGCCAAGCTA